TGGTATGAACTCTTGCCTGACATCTTCACTCAATGGGTCTTTTTACTCATCTTTACATGAATGACTGACTGGCTGCTGCTCACTGCTCCCCATTCACAGTCCAGAGACCATATTCTTCTGCTCCTACAAGAAGCGGCACAGGTGGGGTTCCTTAGGGAACAGGGAATTCTGTTCTTACCCTCACTCAATTCTTTTTTCATTTGGAGGTTTGCTTCATTCCTACCTCATTTGGGCCCATCCTTCTCCTTTTTGTCTTTGGGATTTGGAGCAAGCAGGTTCACAAAGCGTTCACCTCAAATTCTCTCATAAGTCGAGAGGTTCTATCTCTTTTGGGGATGTGGGCATCCTTGTTATCTCTCATTCCCATGGGTTGGGCTCTTATGCATTCCATTCAATGGACACTCCAAGATTAGTGGAACTTCTGCTTGCATCAATTGGACCACCCTTTTATCCTCCATTCCCGGATCAGAGCCAATGTAGCTTGGTGGCTAGAGGGAGACCTGTGACCTCTGTCTACATGTTCCATATATCATCTAATTCTCAAGACCTTTTTTTTTCTCCTTGCTTGTGGATGTCATTTATCAGATATTTATGCCAGTAATGTTACCTGTATCCTTTACCATTCCTCCTATGTCATCTTATATCCCGACCAGTCATATGACCTATGCTGCTTGTGAAGGCAGTTTGACTTTCACACCTATTTCCTTACCTTCCATATCCCACATGCACTCACATTTTGATCTTGAGCTACTTCTTTATCTGGTTCTCTCCTTACAGTATTATGTGGCATGTACTGCCTCCTTTTGGAGTTCCCATTCTCTACTTTTTATTGCCTGGAACTCTTCCATTTCCCATGCTCTATACTCTGTCCTGCTCTCTGGTTGGGTTCATCAACTTGTTAGCTGGTGCATTCGGATTTATCTATGAAAAGTTGCCATCTCTACAATGTTTCTTCTAATCAAATTTGTCATCTCACCACGTCTTTGGCTGCTTGATTTTGACGTCTGTTGGAGAAGATTGTTCAAACTGGAATATGGACTTCTACCAATATCTTTAATGGTTGGAGATGGCTTGAATGATGATGACAAAACCTTGTTGAAATGTTGTACATTTGCTGTTATGTTAAAGTTTTTCTTTATAACCCATTCAAGCCATCTCCAACCATTATTACTCTCAAAATGGGTTCCTCGTCATCAATTGGAAGTTAAGACTCATAGACAGTGTATACTCACTGCAATGTGGGTCCTACTTCTGCAGTGACCTCCAAAACCCAGGGCACATTTTATATCCCACATTATAGCCTGTACTCTGGGGATCCTTTTAATTATGCATCATCTTTAATTTGGATTGATAACAGTATGTAACATAGTCCACATATTTTGCAAAATTTGTAATAAATTACAATATTTCATTATTAATGTTCAAATATTGATGCACAAATTAATATTCAATGGATTTAATAAAGGATCTCTAAATAAAATTATTAAAATATTTTGTACTAAATATAAAAATGTATTAAATAAATATAAAGAAGTAAAAACTTTTTGCTGAAAGTTTCTGATAAGTATTTGTAGTTTTTAATTGGTTGCTTTTCTGATAATATTTATTTAGCATGTTTAGTTTGAGAAGAGTATTTCTAAAGAATGCAGAAACTCGTACTACAGATCAGCTTAGTTGATATAAACGTTAAAAAAATTATGGACTTTCATTTTAGTGTAAAACTAATTAGTAATTTATTACATAATTTAAGATAGCTATATTTTTAGTATGTTTTCCCCTTTAACTTAATTCTTTAAAAACATATAAAATTCATCAATTATAAAAAAATCATAGAATATTAATTTCTTAAAATTGATTCAATGTAGTTTTTATGTATAATAACACCTGTAAGATTTTTGAGGATGATAAAGTTGTGGTATGTATTAATATATTTATGCTGCTTGATGATATATATATATATATATATATATAATTCTCATTTGGACTTTTATTAAGTAAAATAGTATGGGAATATATTATTAATATACACTCAACCTCTTAGTTATGATAAAGAGTTTTATGCCAAAATAAGTAATATTTGTTGTGAATTACAAAATTATTTTCTGGTCTCTCACATTTTTGAGCAACGTCATTGAGTGGAATTAGTACTTAATGAAATTATTTGTGCCCTGTAAATATATCTGGAATGTTTCTTTAAATTTTAATCTACAACCTGATTTTGGTCTATTAACTTGGCAAATGTTTTTTGGCATAACATCGGATGCAGAGTGAGTGTTGAAAAAAAAAATGTGTAAGAAAATTTTAATATTTTTATTATGTTTGAATAATCAAAGTGTTAATAGTTTATTTTTCATAATCCACATGTGGCAGTGGCGGCTCATCCTTAGGGGTAATAGGAGCAGTGCCCTACCTGTAAAAACTAAACCAGTCGATTTTTTTTTTTAGTTGACAGCATGTTTGATTTTGCTACTGGTATTACTCATATTTTGCAATGATAATAAAAATGGGTGTTTTAAAATACAAAATCTTATTTACATAAATAGTAAATACCGTTATGAGCTTATAGGATCTCCTCAGCTTTTCTCACAGCTTGTGAATTCATCATCAGGAAGATTAACTGTTAAACTTTCACTCATGTAAGCATTTAATTCTTAGAAGTCTTGGGCACTCACTTCTATTTATCTAGAGAGGTAAAGTGAAACAAAAGTTTCTGAACGCCCTGGTTATATTTCATTCCCCTTCGGGGAATGAAATATACTTTTAACCTAAATTCCTACCATGCTAGATTAGATTAGCTTATAGCACAATGCATGCTATACTCCTGTTCATCACATTATACTTCTGTGCTCAAAGAAAATATAACATTTTTGATTACTTTGCTGTAACTGGGGCACTTAAACAAGAGCCCACAGTAAAAATATCTCAACTCTGAATAACATAAAAATATAATATTTTCTAAAAATAACATTGATGCCAAACTTCAGATAGATGTTATGCTTGTTAAGCAAAAAATGGTGGTTGACATATCTTAATCACTAATTAACTTTGATTTAAAGAAGGAAATAAAATATTAAATGGAAATTAAAATTCTTCGATTCTCAAACACACCAAGTCACTAGCAGTGTCACACCACTAGCAGAACTGCAAACAAAGCAATGCAAAGAAGTCCATTTCATTTTCATTGCTAAGTTGAGCAAGTATGATAAACAAAGTTTTTAAATGAAAATTAAAATACGTAACTTAGCTTAATTAATGCCATAATGAATACCGTAGACAATTTATTAAAAACTCATTTTTCCTAAATAAAAGTGGAGGAGAAGATGCTTGTTAAAAGTTTATACCCCCATTAATCAAGAGATTTCTTTATGAGACGAAATATTAAAGGCAGAAAAAAAGTCATTTGCTCTTCACTGGTTTGATAAAAAGCCATGGCTTACCATAAGTGAAAAAAAAAAGACTTTTGCTTTTACTGATTGCTTTTGGTAGGCAAAAGCTTATGGACAAAAGGCTGGCTGTTCAGATCTCAAACATTTATCAGAAAGAATCAGAATTCATGAAAAAAGCTTAAAGCATATTGATAATTCAGTTTCTTATAAAATGTTTGGCTCAGTTAATATTTTGGCTCAATTAGATTCAGGCTATCGTGTGACAATCCAAAAGCACAGTGAACTAGTAGACAAAAATAGGCACATATTAAAATGTATCGTTGAAACACTAATATTTTGTGGGACACATGAACTTGCATTATGAGGGTATGATGAATTGGCAGCAATAAATAATCGTGGTAGTGACAGAGCTGCAACCCGGTTATGTACTGTCCTGTACAAACACTTACAGCAGTATAAAGTTGAGGGAAAGCTCATTGCTCAAGTGTACGATGATGCAGCTACTATAAGTGGAGGACAAGGACTGCTATGCTTATCAACTGAACTTAATTTTAAAGAAAGCCTGCTCTTAAATCAAACAAATACAAATTTTCTTCGCTATCATTTCCAAATTTAGAAAATTTTTTTAAGTTCTTCCAAGCGCAGTGACATTTTCCATGAAGTTTGTGGACACACTATTCCAAATTTGGCTGACACTAGATGGAATTTTCATGGAAGAATTGTTAACTCTATTCTTGAGAATAAGGCGAAGCAGACTGATTCATTAGAGAATTACGAATGATGAAAAAATGGATGATCACAGCATAAGTGAAGCAATTTGATGTTTGATATTGACAACACATTTAATTACTTGTTAGCTTTTTTCTATGTGTTGTACAACACTATACAGGCTCAAAGCTTGAATAGATTAAAAGTTACAGATGCATTGTCGCACTTTGAAGTAGCGATACTTGACATTCACGCAAACATGCACAAGTATTTACCAAACGATTCGGCTAATGAGGTGAAGGCAATGCTCAGTTCAGAAAATTAGCCCAATGTGATCTATGGGAAAACTCGGGGCAAGATGCCAAAGCTATTATGATGTCATAATAAGTCAAATGAAGACCTGTTTTCAAAATTCACAAGTCTTCTCCTCATTTGTCTTAGCTGATCCCTCAAAGTTTCACTTGTATAAAGATGCCTTTCCAGATGAAGATGTAAGCACTATTTTAGAACACTACAACATAACTACAAAAGATAGCCTTCAGTAAGAACACAAAGTTCTTTACTGCAATGAAACCTACAGGCACTTGAAAAACCCTTGTGACTTGTAGCTTTTTTAAACAACAACAGACCAGTCAATACATATCCCGAAACTTATAAAATGTTAGAAATTGTACTTGTAACTCCAGAGGCCACTGCAGAATCAGTGATGCTTCAGTACTCTCAAGATAATCAAAACTTTTCTCTCTCTTTTATGTTGTTGTTTTTTATAAGATAAATAAATTTGAAAAGAAAAAACTTTAGAATAGAGATTAAGAGAGAATGTATTAGCTTCTCTTGTTTCTCTGTGAGTCATTTACTAAGAATATGTTAAATAGACAAATGTTTGTATTGCTGCTTATCTTGCAGGTAAAAGAAAATTTGATAGAGGAAGTAGGAGATAGAATGGTGAATTATTTAAGTCCCAAAATTCTGGATATGAAAGCTGCATCAAAAGTGTCTCACCTGACTAAAGTAAGTATATGAATTTGATAAATTTTTTAACAAATTTGTAAAAATTAAATCTACTGAATGTGTGATATGATTAGTTTTTGTTTATTGGATGTATAGCTTGCTTTAACTATCAATCATGGATAGATGACTAATGCTTTAACTCTCAACAAAGGCTTGGTCAATTTGACTGACCACATGACCTCTTTATACTCGTTCAAAGTCTGATTTGATACTACTAACTTTTAATATAGTGTGCATATCTTCATGAAATTTGGCAGTCTTTCAGTATACATTATAAGTCTTTCACATACAAAAAATCGTATTTTTAGTGACGTATTTCTAATAAACTCAAATAAGATTTGTCTTTGAATATATCAAGTATTTGTTTTGAATAGTCTGTGTGCAAAGTGATTTTCATGTTAAGATTAAAAATACTTTTCTTCATCTCAAAAATCTGAAATTTCATTTGTGTAATCTCTAAAACTTCCTAAATACATTTCAAATGTTTGTTTTCAGTAAAACCTTATATTTTATCTGTTATTTTCTATACTTCAACTCAATACGTGGTTGGTCAATTTGATTGACCTCATAACCACCAAAAGAAAATCTAAACTACCCTTTTTTCTTTCTAGAATGACTTCAAATGTAACTTGAAACTACATTCATTTATCTTAAGTAGCTTTAAACTCATAACAGTATACATCTACTTATAATTCGATTTTATTGTATTATTGCCATTTGAACTATGCCTAACTACTATTCGTGCCATTATAAGTTGTAAATCACTTGGAGAACGTACAACTCACATTACGCTATCGAATTACCCTACCCATGAGCTGCTCGCGTGCATGCCTCGTGAAGTATTTTTATTATATTATTCTTATTATTTATTTTTTTTTACCTATTCTATCATTAACTAACCAAAAGAGATCCCTATTTTTGCATTTTAGTAGCCTTTATAATATTAAATAAAGAATGAACATGAAAAACAAGAAATATAGTACTTACCAGAGTATTTTCCTTTTTTTTTACTCTCAACTATCAACGACACTTAACCCTACTTTTTTTATCTTAATGATAGTAGCACATTAAGTAATTGTTACTTAATTAAATAATGCACCAAAGAACATAGAATAATAACATACAAAAAGCAGACCATTTCCTCTAACAATCACAGTTTTATGTATTTCTAACTATGCGACCAGAGCTGTTACAAGTTCATCCAAGCTAGCTGTTGTGATTTCCTTGGGAACCAAAGTTGTATTACAAGTGAAATTGACGATTACCTGTTCAAAACATAATGTAATATAATATGTCATTTGATAAATGAAAACCTTGGCTTTTTATTGGTTATACATAATATTGAATTAATCGTAGGAGAGGACTGTTAACAAATCCTGAAAGAGAGGGTGTGGCAGGAGGGTTCTGATTTTCTATTTGATAGCTCTGTGACCAAACAAAATTGAAGGCTATAAGAATTATGGTTTGTCTGAGCAATGACCATTTTATAGGGAGTAATTTACATTTAATTTCGTGGTTACTGGAGGGGCGGTGGAAAAAATAGAGAAGAGAAGGTACCTAGAGAAGATTTGTCAAACTAGGGGAAATTCAGGATTTTTTTAAATATTGCCTTATAGAATTAAGAACTTAAAACTTATAATATTAACTGGTATCTGCTGTGACCATTTGTCTTATGGTGAGGGCAAAATCACATTTGTGAATTGAAAAAACTATAGAGAACTTCTATTGTATTTCAGATTTTATTTTTGTAAATAGTGGCATAACATTCCATTATTTGTACAAAATTGTATTATTTAATGAAGTTTAAAGAGGAATTTAATGAAAAAAATCCTAAAAATACATTTGAGACTGTAAATAAGTGCCCTCTGAGAAGAAAATTTTTTTTCAAAATTGTTTTTTAATTTTTCCTTCGACTTCAGCACTGATCCTACCATCTATGATTGGTATCTAAACTTTTTCTAGTTTGTTTTCTTTATAAAACAGCATCTGGGCGTGTTAAACCTCAATTATAAAACTTCTAGCCAATCTTAGTCGAAAGTGTCAATTTCAGTACCAATTATTCCAATTGCTATATCTCCCATTTGACAAATCATAGGATGATAAGGAAAGCACATGATGAAACATTGTTCTCTGGATTTTACGATATGAATGTGGGTGGTGCTTATTGTAGTAACTGCCATTTTATGTAGAGGTTGTATTTAGTACCGGCCAATAGGGCTTCTCCAGAAGCGTTAGAAAAGTTGCTTCTGGAAAAAACTGCATGGGATATACATGACTTTTATTTTTTTTTATATAGTAGCTTAAGTCATGCTGCATATTATATCTGTTTATATTAATCATTATATTGCAATTTTAACTCAAAATAGATATATTTTTTAGGAAAGAAGTTGATCCACGATTGTTAGGGTTAAGAGTTATTGAGTGGCGAGTGCAATGTCTTTACATGAATTAGACTTAGGACTTTGAACTGAAAGAGTTTGTGATTTTTTATATTCTTTTGAATTTAAATTTGTAGTTTTAAGCTCAATAATTTAGCATAATTTTATATTTAGTTCATAATAATAATAATATGATTCAGTATTTAGAATGATAAACTTGTGTGATTTGTACGTAATACTGCTAGTACCAGTACCACATGAGTATTTTAAATTTTTCCGTCTTACAATCTTTGCTTTGTAGTACGACCCACACTTCTGTTGTTATTACGTTAGAATTAAAACAGTCTAACTGATATATATATTTAGTTTATTCTGATATTTTGCAAATGGTTCAAACTCAGTGTACAAGTGACAACAATAAAACCCATATGTTGGTTGTGAAACAGGCTAAATACATTCATCTCAATAATACAGGGAAACTATGACATTCTCACAGTTGGGGTCTCAATACATTGAAGAGCTTAAGTTTCACATTCCAAAATAAATCTTGCCTATAATGAGAGGAATGTGACCAGGACTAATCTTTTAAGTGCTGTAAAGTAATTTTCTTTGTAATTTATGGTGTCTGTATCGTTTGGTAATCTCTTCTAACAGGATGTATCAAGTAACAAGGGGTCAGGCTCAGGCGGTGTTTATTGAAACCACCTGTACTATAAACTGTTACATACATTCGTTAGTAGTGGCTGTTAGTTTTGTCTCTATTCTGAAACAACATACACGGACATATGTTGAAATAAACTTGTTTGAAAGTTCAAAGAAATGATATTCAAGTACCGAAAAGCTTTCTTACTATCATATCTACAGTAACGTTCAAATGCGCACGCTCTCGGTTGAACGAGTGTGACCACCAAAAGGGGTGAGAAGGTTTACGGACAATGTACAAAGTTCACGCTGCTGACCCCACGGTTTATTCGGCACAATAAACAAAAAAGTACGATTGCAATGAAACATATGTTTAAATATAAATTTGAAATAAAAATATATTTATGAAACAAAATTAAAA